TCAGTGGCCGCTGGTACCTGTAGTCCTCGGTCCATCTGCAGCCCTTTGGGCAGAGCAGCTCCAGCGAATATCTTCCGCTGCAGCCCGAGGGCTCCATTTCCTGGTCCATCTTGCTTAGGGAAGTTAGAGTTCGTGGTGACTTTCCGGGACCCTGCGCGGGGCACCACCCTCTTCCTGCCTCAGCTCCGGAATGGGCGGACCCTGGGTGCACTGGCTGCCTGAGCCTCAGATCCCCTCCTCTCCTTCCCTCTGTCCCTGGCCTGTCCTCGCCGCAGGATCTATGATGGAGACAGGTCCCTGCCCATACAGGACTACGGGGATTGCAGTGGGAAAAGAGCGCCCTTGATGCCCCAGCACGGCGGTGGATGTGGGTTGGGTGAGGGAGGATTGTAGGACCCCCAGTTCCACCCAGGGTGCACCCAGTCTTCACTCAGAGCTTTGACTCACACCTGTCCTGATTGAAGGAAAGTGTCAAAGGCTAGGTTTGAGGGTCCCTGAGGCTGAAATAGGAACCTAACTCACGTCCTTAACATAAGTATGCAGGTTCACTGACTCCAGAGAAAGAACTTTGTGGAAGCATCCATGAAGAGGCATGAGAAGGATTTATTAGAGGGGATACAGGGTGCTCTCAAGATGAGAAATAAGAAAAGAGGCACAATAGCTGGGAACTGGGAATCTGTTATGTTGTGGGAGGTGGAAATCAGTGGGATTCAATAATCTATAGCCCAGGATGGCCCACCCCTAGTGAGATAAGGAACTAATCCTGGGGGAAATCCCAAAAGGATGGTCCTTTTGTGGGAGAGAGGGGCCATTTTCAAGAAAAAGGGATTGGAACAGATAGGGATACACAAGTTGAATGTCTTGCCCCCTATCCTCCCCGTCCAAGGAGCCCCCCTTTTCCCTTGGATCTTTCTAAGAATGATAATTAAATAGAGCTCCCAACTGGCGGACCTGAGGACCCCAGCCCCATTTTTTTTAGGTTCCACATCACCCACCTTCAGCAGGAAATAGCTTAAGGGAGACGATGCCCACATTCCCATGATTGGGTCCCTAAGGTCCTTGAGAAGGGGGGAATGTGAGGACCAAGTTTTCAGGTCAAGGAGGGCTCCATGCCCCTTACCCAAAATAGAGTAAATGCAAGAGTTCCTTTCTGTAAAATTCCATTCTATGTCACAGTCTCTCTGTGTTTCTGTTGCTCTTTAAGGGCAGGTTATCCTAGGGCATCTCCACCCTGTTTCTGTTCCTCTTTTAAGATCTCACGATGAATTCTTTTCTGTTTAATTTAATTAATATAGGAATTAGTTATAGCTGATATAGGAATTAATTATATCTGACATAGCCACCTATTGATATCTTAGCTTGCAAAATCAGATGATCTAATAAAAAGAGGAATTGATTCTGCGAATGTAGGCATTAGGTAATTTTCCAATACGTGCCCTCCCGGTGCCCCTTGAATATCCAATGATATGTAAAAGCCCTCCCAGTACCCCTTAATTATCCAGTGATAAGTGAGAGCTAAAAATAGAAACTATATAAGGAAAAAGTTTCCTTAATCCTATATAAACCCGCTTCAAAAATGGATCTGGGCTCTCGGTCTAAAGCCGCTGTGACGGTGACACCTGAGAGTCCAGGCTCGAGCTTGCAATAAACTCAGCAACTTGGAAAGGCCTCAGTTCAAAGAAAAAAGAAAAAAAAAAAAAAAAAAAAAAAGGGATTGGGCACTTGAAAGGGAGTTGCCCAGGTCTGCTGTTTTGGGGGAAGAAAAAAAAAAAAGTAAGTACAGGTAAACCGGGCTTGTGTTCTGAGGCCACAGCTTTTCTTTAAATACAATTTTAGAAGTCTCAATTTCCTGTTTCCTTTGTACTCATCTTTTTTTTTTGTTTTCTATCCTACCTCAGAAGGGAAGTTTTGAGGCGGGGTGGGAGAGCACGGGTTCTCATCAGGGCCCCTGTACTCCCTTCCTCACACTCACTATGTAGCCCGCTCTGGCGTCCAACTCTCAGTGATCCTCCTGCCTCAGCCTCCCAAATGCTGGGATTAGGTGCGTGCCACCACGCTCTGCACCACTAGAGAGCTTCAGGGACGTGTGAGCTCCGGGTTGCTGCCTCTATGCTTGGTTCTTCGCATTGGTCTCCTCACCCAACGTCCCAGCTGGTCGAGGGGTGCAGAAGGCCGGCTACCCCCATGGGGCACAGGCTCAGAGGTGGCCACGGGGTACTCAGGTGAGAGACACCGGCAGGTGGCAAGAGAATGTAGAGCACTGTACTCACAGCTTTCCACTTCAATTCATCTAGAAATAAAACTTCGGAGGAATGAGCGCTTTGTGTCCTTCAAATAATCTTCCCGAAGAGTCTGTCTTTAAACTGGTCTTGGCTCCAGGGTGGCTGCGCTCAGAGCCGGCAGAGGCGGCGGCCGCCCTTGGAGGTGCATCACAGCGTCCTCTCCTGGCGGGAGGTGGTCCCACCCGGTGCAAAGGGAGATTTAACAGCGGGAACCTTGCAATTGACATTTCCTATTGCCACGGAAAACAGGTGGGCACAGGACAGCAACATTGGTGGGAAACGAATACCTTTCACTGATCCGAAATATATGCATTTTAGAAGCAAATCTAGTGAAGAACGCGGATCCGGGAGGCATCCGGCTCTGAGGCGCGGAAGTCACCAGCTTTGAGCCAGGCAAGTCTGAGTTATGTGCCTCCCTTCCTGTGTGGCCTTGGGCGATTTAGTCTCTGAGCCTTGCATAGTCCTCATCTGTCGTATATGGGCAGAAGTAATACGCACCTTATAGGGTTAACGTGATGATTTATACAAAGAACTTAGTACATAGCACAGGTACTTGGGATGTGAAAAGAGCCGAGGTAATGACCGTCGTTATACTTAGCCACTTGACTTCTGTCTGTCCATGACCTGTGCAGGGGTCCGTCCCAGAGTGCTGCACGTTCTCGGTGTATTGACGATCCAGTATCTGGACCTCTTCCCAGCCTTTGACCCTATCACTGGTTTTCACTTTAGGCGCCTCATGGGTTTATAGTGATACTGTGGTTTTAATGTTCATTTCCCTAATGGCTTAATGATACAAAATAGCTTTTTCAGGTGTTTATTTGACATCTGTATACCCTCTCTGGTAAAATGTTTTGGTTTGTTTGTTTGTTTTGTTGTTTTTGAGACAGGGTCTCACTATGTAGTTGAGACTGACCTAGAACTCACTATGTAGCGCAGGCTGGTTTTGATCTCACAGCAATCCCCCTGCCTCAGCCTCCCCAGTGCTGGGATTACAGGTGTGCACCACCAAGCCCGGCTCTGGTAAAATGTTTGGCCATGAAGTTTTGTTTTGTTTTTTTAATGTCTATTAGATCTAGCTGGCTTTTGTGTTAAATTCTCTAGTTCCCTTCCTCTGTTTGGTCATTTTATCCACTATACAGAGTGGAGTGCTGAAATCTTCAGTTGCTATTGTAGAACTCTCAATTTCTCCCTCCCATTCTATTTTTGCTTTATATATCTTGTTGGCCTATTACTAAGTGGGTGTCTATAATTGTTATATCTCTTTCATATTGAATCTGTGCCTCTTGTAAATTTTCTTGCTTTAAAGTCTATTTTGTCAAAAAAAAGTATATTTTTTTCTGATATTCGTATACTTGCCTCTGCTCTCTTTCAGTTATTCTTTGCATTACTTTCATTTTGTTTTTGTGCAACTAGGGATCAAACCTGGGTCTCACGCACCCTAGCAAGCACTCCACCGCTACACTCCTACATTTTGTTTTTATTCATTTGAAATGTGAGCCAATCTACAAAATCTGCCACACCCTGCAGAGTGATATTCCTAGTTAAATTCCCACTAGTATATTCTACTTATTAATAAAGATGCTTAGCTTTTCATATTTTATTTTTTGTTTTGTCTTATTAATTGCCTGTTTATATTATTTGCCCCTCCCCCTGTAAGCAGAAATCTCAGAACCGATGCTGAATAGGAGTGCCATCACCAGCATTTTTCCTTCTTACCTCTGACTTTGCCATCTGGTACATTTGTTTTAGATAAACCTTTTATCTAAGAAACCTTTTCTCAGGTCCAGAAGAAAGCTTACTAAGAGTTTTGTCTCCTTTAATTAGGAATGCTTTCGTTGCATTCTTAGTGTGTTTCTAAGTGCATCTCTTAAATAGCTTCCAAACTATCTGTGCATTTCTAAGATGCTATTTTAGTAGCAAATAGTCTCTATTTCTTGATCATTGAGAGGACTGTACAGTTTTTCTCCTTTAATCTGTCTCTGTAGTTGCAGTATCACTGTTTGATGATTGGTGGTGGTTTAATGTTCGGATTTGTACAAAGCTCACCAAGCACGACAACTTCACCCAGCATGTATTTCCTTGGCTTTGAGAAAAGGCACAGCATGTGTGACATGCTGTGTCTGGTGGCCCAGAGCAGGGTCCCAGGATATGTGTGTATGTACATTATCAGTGAATTTCACTCGCTTCCTGCTGGCTTATAATGATTAATCTTCTCATTTTATTTAGTTTTTAAGTTCTTGATGAATTTAAAAAAACAAATACATATTATATGAGGCATAATTTCTTAAACACAAAACCATTGCTACAGTACAAGCTACATTGTCATTAATCCCCCTCAGAGTACCCTCCCTCACTTAGCATGTGTTTATCCTGTCCTTTTCACCGCTTTCTGGAGCAGTTCTGCAAGTCTTCTTTCGTGAGGGTCTTTACTTGCATTGTTGTGGCTGTCTCAATGTCCTGAATTGATTGAACCCGTTAATCTTTTGTGATCATTTTTACTTTGGTTCACAGGGTTCTAGATCCACAGAATGAGGTGGATGAGGACACAGCCCCGGGTTTTTATTTGACAGAATTTGTGGTGCCAGAAGAAATATGAGACAGGGAGCCTTTCTCGATGGAGGATGAAAGTATTTGCCCAAGAAGACTTCCAGAACTGCTTTGGAAAGTGACAAGAACAATGGGTTAAGGGTGAAGCAAAGGGGAGTTTTCTGAGGAAGATTAATGGTAGTGTCTTTTTCACTTTAATGGGCTTCTTAAAATATTAAATATTCACCATAATTTCTAGATCACTTTTTGGATATATGAAAAGAAGTGTTTCTGCCCATGTGTCTCTGTGTGACTGTTACTGTGTTAGTTACTTTTTTCTTGTTGTTGAGGCAAACAAACAAAGTTCAAAGGGGGGAGGTTTATTTAGCTCAGTTTGTAGAGGTTTCAGTCCATAATCCACTGGCATAATCAAGGCAGGGGTGGCACATGGCAGAGACAAAACAGTTCATGGCACCCACATGGTAGCAAAAGCAACAAGGGAAACTTCACAGCCTCTTTCTGTCCCTTTTCTCTCATCCAGACTACTGGGATTAGGGCAGTGCCAAACCAATCAGTGCATTGGTTTAGGGTCCACACACCCTTCATCCCAGCATCACACACCCTAGATTCAGTCACCTGTGGAAAAGCCACCTACGACTGCATGAGGCTTTGGGGGGACATCTAGACTCAAACCATTACAGTGTGTGTGTGTGTGTGTGTGTGTGTGTGTGTGTGTCCAGTCTCAAGAAAACTAACTCTGATTATTTTCCAGTACGTTTGGTGGCAGAGGTTTTCTAAGCTGTTGGGGGGATCAGACTCACTTTCCGGACCCAATGAGATGGGCAAAAGCTGTTTCACCCAGGTTTTACTTTATATTTTCTTGATTTCTGGTGAAATCAAAGGTCTTTTCTCACTTTTCTGTCCCTTCAGTTTTGTTAAGAAATGTTGGTTGAATCCTGTGTATATTTTCTATCTTCCCTTATCATTTTATGAGAATATTAAGACTTCTCTGGATATTAACCACTCTCAGTAATATATGTCACTAAACTTTCTCCCAGTCGGCGGCTAGAGTCTTAGCTTTTTATCTTTCCCCATACAGATATTTTAATTTTTAATGCTTTTGAATGTATCAACTTTTTAAAGTTCATGTATGGACAGAGATATCTAATTTTCGATTTTGCTTATGTATGACCAGTGTAAACATATGTAATTGACTTGTACTGCTGCAAATTCATTTTCATTTGTGTGTGCACATACATACATACGTGAACTCCCTCCTCTATTGCCTTATTTGTGTCTTCCTGGATGCCTGCCACTTTGCTGTCCTTGTGTCTTAACAGTAAGTCTTAACATCCGGTAAGGAGGTCTCTCTGCCTTGCAACTCCCAGGCTCCTGCCCTTCTGCTCCTGCCTTCAGGTGACATAGCAAGGCAGCCCTCACAGATGCCAGCACCTTGATCCTGGGCTTTCTGCCCTCCAGAACTGGAAGAAATAAATCTCTCTTCTTTAGAAGATACCAGTCTCAGATTTCTGCTAAAGCACAAAATGGACTAAGACATTATCTCTAATATGGTAATATCTCAGTTTCTACAGGCCTTATTTTGTGTTTTTAATGAATCTTGTACCTTTTCATAAAGGTCTTACACATTCCGCTAAGTTTATGTGGACTGTTATGGTTTAGATCTGAAATATCCCCTCAAAGTCTTCTGCCTTCAGAACCAAAGGCTTTTCTTTCTTTCTTTTTTTTTTAGACAGGGTCTTGCTATGTAGTCCAAGCTGGTCTTGAACTCACAGAAATCCTTCTGCCTCAGCCTAAACTACATAGTAAGACCCTGTCTCAAAAAGAAAAGCAGAAGATTATTTGAGCTGCTCAAAATCAATTGGAGAAGATTAGCTTTTTTCCTTTTGTTCTGGGAAAGTTCAGTTCTAATTCCTTTTTTTGTGTACCAAGGATCAAACTTGGGTCCTTGTGCTTGTGAGTCTGGCAGTGGCATCACTGAGCTAAATCCCTGCCCTCAGTTTTAATTCTTAAAGTGTTGATCAAACCATGAAATCTTCCATGTTGATATTTTGATGTCATTGTTTATATAGATACTTAACAGTTGTATTTCTTTCACAGTTTAGGATTAGATCATGTATTTTATTTCTTTTAGCTTCATTTTATCACATTTTTTCTAGAAAATTGTTCATTTTGCCTCATTTTTCAAATTTATTTGCACAGATATGCCCAGAATATTCCCTTCTGACTTCTTAGTCTCTGAAGTGATGATGCTATTTTCTTTCAGTATTTATTTTATTTTTGCTTTTGCTTTGTTTACAGAGTTTTAAAATTTTATTTATTTAATTTACAGAGATTTTTCTAAAGCTCTATTATTTTCCCCAAGTACTAGGTTTTGATTTGGTTGATCGTTCTGTTGTTCTTTTCTCTAACTTCCTGAGTGGATCACTTAAACTTTAAATATCATTTCTTTTCTAAGATGTGCATTAAATGACACAAAATTACTTCTTGGGGGGACTGCTTTGCTTATACTCCATAAGTTTCATATTTTAAAAACTTTTTTAAAAAATCAAAAGCTCTAACTATGCCCAGTTTCCATTAGGAGAGGCAACATGCCATTTAGGTAAAAGCAGGAATTTGGCTGGAATCTGAGGCTGCCATGTTTAGCCTTGCAGCCTATCTTGAACTTGTTAAGAATCAACATCTAGTATCCAGGTACCAGGATACTTGGCCTTTGTCACATTCCCCAAGAAGCGGATACATCCAGAAAGCATCATGAGCATTACATGTTAACTAAATGCTCTTGGAGAGACGTAGCAGGGTAATGCTTTAGAGGTGTGTTAGTCCAGGTTCAACTGAGCAGCCAAACCACTCTGACACATTTTTTATAAAGATTTCTTCTAAGAATCTCAGTTCATGCAAGGTCTGGTTAAGTGATCTCGAAGGTGTCGTCTTTATGTGCAGTGCTGGAGCTCGAGTCTGCAGGATGGGAATGGATGATGGATGAAAGGCATGAGAGAGAAAAAACTAGGTGGAACCCATAGGCATGGGCAATGGGCCACACAAAGATGGATGGAGACCTGTGGCCTTGATTGTGTTCCCAACTTCAGTGGCACCTGCTGGGGTCAACACAGGGCCCTGTGCCTGGGATGAAGATGGAACCCCACTGAGAGTGAGCTAACACAGAGACCAGGAGGGACTTGGTCAGAACAGCAGGTGGGACCTGTTGGGGCTGGGCTCCTCCAAGGCTCTGGGTTGGATGTGTCTCCCCCTTGACTGGCTCTGTCTTCACCAGGGACACCCCAGATGCAGAGGGGACTTGTGACAGGGGATTGGAATGTTGACCGGTATGCCTCCCTTGGAGGTGGAGATGTGCTTATGGGATTTTTAAGACTTGAGCAAATGTTTATGATGGTCTATGGAGGGAAATACAGGACTCCAAGTGTTGGGCCCTATAGGGTGGCAACTATAAGGTGGTTTATGACCGGCTGCCCAGGGATGTGGCTGTGTCCATCCATTTAACCCTTCATTCACCCCAGCAAGCTCATGCTAAGGCACTGAGAGGGTTACTCACTTGTATAAGGGGTGATCAAAATATACAGTGAAAGTTTAAAAATTCTTAATTTATTATAGTAAAAGACTCATTGCTGTTAATTCCCCTCAGAATACTCTCTTGCTTGAAACACAACCCATTGTTCTGGTCACTTTCTGAAGCAGTTCTGGATGTCTTCTTCGTAAAGAGTATCTTTATGAAGACACTTGTAAAGAATACAGTAAATGCTGCCGCTGACCACCTTCAGTGAAAAGCTGGGCTTGTACCAACGTTATCATCCTCATCTACCTCATCCACCAGATCTGGTGCTGTGTGACTTCTGGCTCTTCCTCAAAGTCAAAAGGACCCTAAGCGGTAAGCATTTTCAGTTGATCCAAGAAATCAAGGTAGTCACAACGGTGCAACTAAAGACTCACGAAAGAGGGCTGGGCACAGAAAATGCCGAGGATGCTGGGATAAGTGTGTTTGGATGAGGGGGGAGTGTTTTGAGGGAGATTCGTGGCAATGTGTCTTTTACTGTAATAAATTTGTTTAAGGAATTTAAATGTTCACTCTTTTTCTTCCCCGGTTCTGGGAATCAAACTCAAGACCTTGAACTTGCCAGGCAGGCATGGCACCACTGAGCTGCATCCTCCGCTCACCACACTTTTCAATCACACCACAAAAATGATCTCACAGGTAGGAAGAGAGGGGCTGAGTCGAACCCAGGATCTCTGTCCCTACAGCCCATGCCTCTAACCCTACTCTATCACCTTTACTGTGAAAAACTGGTCGGTTCAATCCCCAGTCCAAAATAAAAAAAGCTTGACGGAAAAAAAAAAATCGGGTCAAAGAAGGAAAAGAATGTTTACCAGCTGACTTCCGGTGCCGAGCATATGGGGGATGAAGGGCTGTATGGTGTCTGTTTCTTTCTTTTTGGTACTGGGATCGAACTCGGGAACTTGCACTTGTGAAGCAGGCAGAGGAACCACTGAGCTAAATCCCAGGCCCTGTTTCTTAAATTAAAGGTTGGACACTTTGGAGTTCATGTGTTGCCATATCTCAATCTTAAAATTTTTAGAAAGTATTTTTATATTGGCTATCTACTGAAACCTTAAAATTTTTTTTGTCATTTTCATCAGGAATAATTCAGATTTCAGATATTGGGAAACCTCTTGTGAAATTAAGAGAGAGTTGAACCCTTTCTCTCTTTTTTTTTCTTAAATTCTTTTATTGGTACATTTTAGGGTTACCACACATGTACATCTATCATTGGGAACTTTATATGATGCATCTTGGTTCTTATATTTTTCCCCATTCCCCTGCAGGTAAGTCCTTTTTGTAAGTGAGATGATCTCCTAAGGAGACTCAGTTACTTCCTTTGGAGGGAGAGATTTTTAAACATTGTATCTGCATTGAGGATATTGTTTCTAAAATGGGGTAAATCTTTACACTTAAAGAAAAAAAGAATCTTAGTAACTGATTTCAAGGCTTGTTTCTTTCCATCAGTGGGTGGAGACCTGCCTGGGGCTCAGCTCCCAGCTCTGCCTTATGACCTCTCACCTCAAAGGTCTCTGCCCCTCCCCTAGCAGCAGAGGTGACAACGCCGCCGGCTGCTCACTCTGGGCGGGGCAGGAGGCTCCGTGGGCCACCTGGGTCAGCACGGGGGAGGCCCTGGTGGGTGGTCAGTGACCAGGGGACGCTGCTTAGGTTTGCTGATTTCTGCCTCAGCCTGAGTCCCTAAGGTTTGCAGCGAGTGGCCTTGGACACCTCGCGACAGCGCCCAGGCTACAGGGCTGTGCGTACTCCAGGACCAGTGGCAGTCGTGGAACACAGCTATGGGCTGAGACTCTTCCCAAAGACAGACACAGCAGGGCTTACGGACAGGGAGAAGGAGACAGGGGAGAGAGGTGGCTGCAGAGTCCAGTTCGGGGACTGTGGGTCCACGCAGAGAAGCCGATGGGGGTCATCAGCTGAGGGAGCGATTCTGGGAGCTAAGACACAACCTTGAGCGAGGACCGCCAGAGAAAGGACGCGGCCAGGCCGCGCCCAAGGGGAGGCAGCGCCCCCTAGCAGGAAGCGAGTGCTCACCGTGTCAGACGTGGTACTGGGCTGCTGCGGCCTGCGTGTTTCCTCTCCACCCATTCGACTCCCCTCTCCTGCTCCCTGTGGGCCTCACCTGATGCGATGCTCTGCAAAGTCTCTGGCTACAGAGTGTCCTCCGGGGGACTGAGCTGGTGAGGCGGGTCCCACTCTTCCCTGATGCGGGGACGATAGCAGAGCCCCGCAGCGATGTTCACCTCATACCAGCCTTGGTCTCCTGGAGTGTGAGAGACTCACTTCCATCCCGGCAGCGTTCATCGAGGTCACCCAGAGGAGGCCATTTGGCTGGCAAAGATCAAATACAAAAACAGGTAGGTGCTGGCCACACCCACCCTGTCTGCCCAGGCTCTGCAGGGGGCGCTAGGCCCAGGCCGCCGTGGACCCAAGCCATGCTGGGCGCCTTGCCATTCGGGCCTGGGGGTCCCGTGGCCTGGTCTTCATCCTCCCTTCAGAGGAAGGGCAATGGATTCTGAGCTCTGCCAGTTCGCCCTCTGAGAAGTGGAACTGGAGAGGCAGCAGGTGACAGGCACGCACAGAGCCTCAGAAACACGAGGGGATAGGGCCACACCGGGCTGACACAGCTTCGCCAGCAAGGTCTGCCTGCTCTGAGGCCTGGGTCTTTGCAGCCAGCCCAGGGCCCTTCCTGCTGCCACCCAGAATCCCAGCAAGACTGCACGAGGACCAGCCACCCTGCCGTGTGTGCTGCTTCAATCTCAAGGGGCACGCTGTGTCTTCGAGGGGCCACTGTGTCCTGCTACCAACCTCCCAGTCTGTGCTTCCTGTCCCAGACCCCAGCCCACCCTCCTCCTGCCATGGTCCCTGCCTCCAGGGAGAACATCCTGGCGTCTGGGCTGACTGTGCGCTGGGGAAACTGGCAGCTGAGTCAACTCTGCCGAGAGCCCTGTCCCGAGCAAGTGTCAGATTTGGGTGTCTTTTAGGTTGGGTAGCAGGGAAGTGGGCAAGTCTGGCAGAATGGCGGCTTTCAGTGGAGGCTGGGCAGGCAGGACAAGAGGGCAAGAGGCTGCTCTGAAAGCTGGAAAGAGGGTGGCCCATGTTTTACAGTAGCAAGAAAATTAGTTATATTTAGTAATGTGGAAGATGAGCAATGTACCTTATTAAGCTTGTGGCTTTCACAAAGGAGATTTCCTAGCCAAATGCAGAAGGTGTCAAATAGTGTGCGTGCGTGTGCATGCATGTGTGCATGTGTGCGTTGCTGTTGATTGAACCCAGGCCATTGTACATGTTACACAAGCACTGTATTGCTGAGCTACATCCCAGCACTAAAGAGTACTTTAAAGTTGTGTGTGATGCAGTATGGAAAGAAGAAAATAATATAGCAAAAGTCCTAGGAAGGCAATGGTCCCATTTTCAAAAGTAATAGAAAGGCGGGTCAGGGATTTAGCTCAGTGGTGCCAGGCCAGCCTTGCAAGCACAAGGTCCTGAGTTCAATCCCCAGTACAAAAAAAAAAAAAAAAAGTAATGGAAAGGAAATAGAGTAGCACCTCTTTATCTATAGGGGATATGTTCCAAGATTCCATCAGCTTTGGGTCTATGATAAAGTTTAATTTATAATTTAGGCATAGTAAAAGATGAACAACAATAACTGTAGTAAAACAGAACAATTATAACAATATACTTGATGAAAGTTAGACAAATGGGGCCTTTCTGTGTCTGTCTGTCTCTCTCATCAAGACAAATACAGACTTTAATATCTTTAGATTGTACTTGACTACAAGCAATGAAACTACAGAAAGCAAAGCTACAGATAAATGGGACTACTGTAGAGAGAGTTTAAAACAGCCTTCCCAGCTAGCAAAAATAAATGAAGTTAAAATCTGGGGATAAAGATAAAATCTAGGGTGTTTCCAGTCCTATGTGATATCAAAGGGTGTGATTAGATTTTTGTTTTGTTGTATAAAGACTTCTGAAAGGGTTAGGGCTATACCTGGTAGAACCTTTCCAGTAGGGGGAAAAAGGTTTCCAAGAATATGAAGATCTTTGTACCTGTCTATGGTAGAGAAAGGTTTGTCTGGAAGGAGTCACCTATGGGATTTAGAAACAAGGACTGAGGCACAGTTAGAATGTCGGAAACTCAAAGTCTTTAGGAAAATCCTGTTGACAGAGTACCACAAACACGAACTAACACAGATTGAGACTGTTAAGACAAACAGACCTGGCGGGCCAGGAAGCAGGCTGTGACAGCCAAGGCTGGAAATGGAAGAAGCTGGAAATGGAAGAAGGAGAGCATGGCTTCAAAACCCTGAACCCAAGGATGAAGTTGAGATTAGGGAACCGTGTGAAGGTAGAGAGGCAGATCTCAACCAACCACTTTCTCTGGTGACACGTGCCTAGCCTTGTTACCGAGGACAGGCGATCCAGTGTGGCTCCTGTGTGCCCCTCCTGCGGAGGGAGTCCTGTCACTGTGATCTGTGGTAGGAGTGGCTGGCGGTGTCGTTAGGGAGGGACAGGTCACCCGAAGAAACAAACCCACGCTACCCTGTCTCCATCCAGGCCAGACTTAGATGACAAGATCCGGGTATTATGTCTGAGCATGAGTCCATGAAGGGCTGATGCCTCGGGGTTCTTGGACGTCGGGGTTATTGCGTGTGGATGGGATGTGACTCGCTGGGAGACAGCTGGGACTGTGATCCTCTGTTGAGGCCCAGGGACTCTCAGGCCTCTTGGGTCCCCACCCACTCAACACTTGCCTGACCACATGGCCTATTTTGGCCAATGAATCATTAGCAAGTGTGATGTGGGTGGAGTCTTGAGAAACTGGGTATTTGCAACCCAGCCACCACTTGGTGAAGGAGCCCAAGCTAGCAGCAGGGACAGACCACATGGAGAAAAGTGATAGCCCTGCTGATCACTAACACCACTTTTTTTGTTGTTTTGTTTTTAAGACAGGGTCTCACTATGTAGTTGAGACTGACCTGGAACTCACTATGTAGCCCAGGCTGGTCTCAAACTCACAGCGATCCTCCTGCCTCAGGCTCCCGCGTGCTGATATTACAGGCGTGTGCCACCACGCCTGGCTTGCTAACAGCACTTTGACAGCTAAGCGAGGCCATGGAGGCCATCAGCCCAGCCCCACCCCCCAGCTGATCACAGTTGCACCAGTGAGCCAGGCAACAGCATGTGGAGTGAACAACCCCAACCCCAGCTCCACCTGACCCTGAGCAGTCAGTGTTATTCAGGCTTCTAAGTTGGGGGAGGTTGGTTACATAGCGAGAGATCATTGAGACCGGTGTGCTCTTTGTGTGAGGCACAGCTAGTTGTCTGCTACCCTAACTCAGCTTCTAGTGATGGACTTTTTCTCTTCTTTTAAAAATTACTACTACTACTACTACTACTACAACCACCTAGGTTTGGGATTGAACCCAGAGCCTTTGCACTGATCTACAGCCCCATCTATTAAAATTTTTTTATTTTTAAATTTTGGGATTGGATCTAGCTAAGTCACTATGCTGCCAAGGCTGGGCTCAAAGTTGTGATCTTCCTGTCTCAGCCTCCCGTGTGCTGAGATTACAGGCCTGTGCCACCATGCCTAGCCGCATGTCCTTCTAATGGGAAAATTGTAGGTACTTGAAGTGGGAAGCGTCCATTGGTGGCTTCCTTTCCAGACCATATTTGTGTGGCAGAATAGAACAGCTTGGACTAGACGGCCGAGGGACCAACTGGAGGGACGACAAGTCACATCCACTTCATCTGGATAAGGCTGAGGGGGAGAGAGGGAAAGAGGCTGATTCTCACGGCAAGGACCAGCAAGGAGGCTGCAGAGGCGGCTGAGGCGGGACGGCCATCTGCCAAGTGCACCCCACTGCTGGTCAGTGGTCCCCTCATTGGCCCTTTCCTGACACTGGGGAGTCCAGCATGTCTGCAGCTGCCCTGCCCTACTAGACTCGGGCTCTGTCCCCATGCCAGGACAGAGCCAATGTGACCTCAGAAGCGCAGCACCCCATTTCTGTTGAAAGTCAGTTTAGGGGCGGATTGTGGCCCAAAGCTGACCAGAGGTGATGAGAATGGCCCTGGGAAAGGTCACTCCTGCAGCAGAGACAGACTCCTGGGAGGGGACAGTCCTGCCTCAGACCGATGACACATATGTATGGGACGGAGCAGAGGGGTGAGGCAGGGACCGAGGAGTTGGGGAGTGGCCAGATGAGCGGACCATGGGGACAGAGGAGGATCAGATGGCCAGGGAAGGCCTCATCCTGAGGTTGTCATGAGGAGGAGACAGATGAGCCAGACTGGCGCTTCTCTGGCTGGAGACTTCCGGTCCCCCAAGAAAACACATGCTCAGTGGCATGAAATGGGTGGCATCATCACCCTGTTCCTGAGCGCTATCCCAGTGTTCAGGGGACTGAGTCCTGACACCCGCTCCCCTGGGCTGAAAGAGGCAGTGGTTGTACGAACTCACTCTGTTAAATGAAACAGATCCTGCTGTAATTTGTTTTTCAGTACCCAGGGCCTTCACCCTGAACTATATCCGAAGCCTTCTGTATTTTTTTGAGAGAGGGTTTTACTAAGTCGTCACATTGTCCAGGCTGGGCTTGACCTTTTGATCCTCCTGCCTCAGCCTCCTAGAGCGGTGGGATGACACACATCTGGCTCAGAGCTGCAGTTTCATGAACTCCTCACCGCTGCACCGCAGAGACCCTGCAAAATGAAGAAAATATCAGTTCGCCAGTCTCACACTGTTACTATTTGAAATGTTTTTGTAAACATGGTCGTCATAGTAAATGAAAGTGATTTAACTGGAGGCCCGAGTACTTTCCTGCTCTTCTAGACTCCAAACACCAACTTTAGAATTTGGCAGTTTGAATTTCACGGTATCATTTGGAGAAGTGCATGGATGACCTCAATTAAAACCAGATGCAGGGCTTGATGAGGTCCTTTGATGCTACCTGTGGCTGTTGAGGAGAAGAGGAGCACAGGACAAAGAGGGACAGGTGGCTGGAGATGTCTGTTCCTTCTCACTGTCTCACCTTTCCCGGAGGTGAGTGGTTTGGGATCACCATGGCAACCAGGAATGTTTTCAAATTCCCAACCCAAGTGCATCTTTAAGATTTAGGAAGGAGCAATCTAAATTCCTAGAATTTTCAAGACATTGAGAAATCCTAAGTTACTTTGTATTTCTATGAGCTTAAGATTTAAATTTCCTGGAGATACTCATATCTTTTCCTCTTTTTCCTGATTGCTTTCATAGGACTCGGAACCCAGAAAAAGATGTGAATTTCCCAAGGAACATCGGGAAGGGATTCATGCGTGGAAATGTGGTTTGCCAGTGGATGCGCATGGTACCAGCCCAATCGGTCCCCTTGGTGACAGCCACAGGGCAGCAGATGTGGCATTGATCCCTTGGGGCCAACTTGGCCCCGGGATAGAACTGCTTAAAGCTGGGTTTCCCAGCAACCACGACGGCCCCGCCTGGCTGAAGTGGTTCTGACTTCCTTTCAGGATACACACACAGGACCGAGCAGGTTACAGACCGCCCATCTCCTTCCTCCGGTCCCTATGGCTTAGGGGCCCCTCGTCTCTCCCCACTAATACTCTTTTTGTCTCCTCCATCTCAAAAACACACTGAAGTCCCCGCCGACAGGTGTCTGGGAGGGGCTTTGGTTTGGGTCCAGGAAAAACAATCCAGAACTTCCCAGAAGAGAGAGGGCACCGTTACCTTTTCACCCCACTTGCTGGAGGTCTGCTCTAATGAGGAGAGGGTGAGAACATTGTCAATTCCCGTGCACAGGGCAAGCGGTGTGTGTGTGTGTGTGTGTGTGTGTGTGTGTGTGTGTGTGTGTGTGCAGGATTAGTTCAGCAGGGTGAGGCAGGTAACATCCACTACATCACAGGACACTCAGACCCTCCCCGCCTCCCAACCTAGGGATATCCTGGTCTTGGGAGGGGGGGGGTAAGAAATCACCCTGAAAAGTCCCTTCAACTTCCTCATGAAGCCTGAATCTAAGAAGCCCTAAATAGTTGCAGCCTAGAGCTGGGGATTTAGCTCAGTGGTTCCGCCACTTGCCTTGCAAGTGCAAGGTTCTGAGTTTGATCCCCTGTACAAAAAAAAAAAAAAAAAAAAAAAAAAAA